AGGCGAAGTCCAGTGTTCTTCTGCTGCTGAGAAGCAAAAAGAAACCTTTTCATTTATTGGCCTCCACTTCATTTTTCTTTATCACATACTTTTTCTTTTATCAAATACATCGTATTTCTATGGTAGCATCTCATTATGGGGTCTATAGTCCTTGCAGATTTCATAAAATTCAGGCCAAAAAGAAGGATGGGAGCTGTAGCCATTTTATTGATTTCTAGCGAAAAAAAGTGAAGATCTGGATTTTTCCAGTCAAGATTTGGATTTAGCCCTGATTTGAATCAGTCATTCTCTGAACTGCTCCAAGCTGAATCAGACTGTTCCTGAATCGGGATCCGAACTGGATCTTGTATGGGGTGTACACCCTTAACAAGATTTTTTTATATAGATGGTCATTGATCCCGCTCGATAGTAAGAGCAGACGTTTTTATTCCTAAAAAGCCTGATGCAACTGTAACCTTAAAATTATTTCACTGCGGCTGAAAAGGAGGATGCAAGAGGCCTCTTGTTTCTGTCTGCCAAAAGCATGCTAGATGGATGATGATTGCTCATACTTGTGACTTTTGATGTAGAAACTAAGGTCACAATGGCAGCAGGGAGGGGGAGTCCATGCCAGCACAAAGGGCCTTGTACAATCCTTGCTGGAACTTGGCAGTCCCGAGCTGAGAGCGCCCTTTGTGAAGAAAAACTACTGTAGCCATACTAATATTAACCAGTCTCCATGCAGAGTCTGAATGCCCCACTGTTTTTCACCCCCTTAGGAAAAAAGAAGGAAAGAAAAAAAAAAGAACCTAAATAAAAAGTTTTTTACTCTCCCAGTAGAATAATTCTTTACAGACAAGCATATAATAATTATGAATGATCTTGTGAAATTTCTAGCATTGGTGCCTTTTAAAAAAACAGGCACACACAAACCATAACATTTTGCAATTGGAAGCCAACAGGTTTGCACTCCAAACTTTTGTTTTTATTTATCAAAGATCCAAAGGAAGATCATCTCCATAATCTAGACTTGGTTGCTGAGGAGGTTTAGATCAGGAGTTTCTTTTTACTGGCAAGTGGTCCCAGAGGTGAAGAAGCTAAAATTGCAATCCTGTGCACACTTAGCCTTAGACAATTTCCAGAAGGAGAGCCATCTGTTCAAGCAAAAATAATGGAAAATGTTATAATACCTTTAAAGTGTAACCAGTTTTTTTAATAGCACGGATTTCCATGAAATTGTGTTAGATAACACTGAGTGTTATGAAGAAGCTCAGGTACAGGTTGAATAACCCTTATCTGGAAGTTAAAAAAAATGGAACACTGCCACATTCGCTGGTGTTAGGGGTGAAAGACCACCGTGAATGTGAAAAAAAACCACAAATTAAAAAAAATTACCCGAGAGAACACCTCGCTAGGAATTTCCAGGTCCTCCGGTGCAACTCTGTGGTCAACATTTGCCAGAGGTTGATCATAGAATCATGCTGGAGGACCTACAAATGCCTAGAGAAGTGTTTTCTCTAGGAACTTCTCGGATCTCCAGCACAGCTCTATGGTCAATGTTCAGCAGAATTGCGCTGAAGGACTTCGAGATTCCTAGAGAGAATATAATAATCAAAACCTCAAACAATCAAATCTGTAGAAGTCAAAACTGCAAACTTGGAGGGCCAACTGTACTCCAAAATTGTCCACCTGGGTGGCTGAGACAGTGACACCTTTGCTTTCTGATGGTTCAGTGTACACAAACATTGTTTCATGCATAACATTATTAAAAAATTTATGTATAAAATTATCTTCAGGCTATGTGTATAAGGTGTATTTGAAACAGAAATGAATTTCACGTTTTAAACTTGGGTCCCATCTCCAAGATATCTCATTATGTATATGCAAATATTCCAGAATCCAAAAGAATTAATAATCCAAAATCCAAAACACTTCTGGCTCTAGGCATTTCCGATAAGGGAGACTCAACCTGTGTATATATGAACAGTACACACAGTTTGGAGGGTTGTTGATTGTGAACAATGAAGTTGCAGGGAAATTAACTACAGAATGAACTGACACTGACAGTGTCATTCACAAAACCATAGGTGCTGATAAGATAAACATCCTGGCAGTAGGTAAGCCAGTTAGCACATGTAGGTCAGGATATTGCTGGTGCATTTTGCTGGTAGTTGCACTTTTGCCAGGATTGCACAGCAATGGTGAGGAAAGGCAGGCAAAATCTACTGGCTCCAAGTATTTCTTCATAGTCTTTTTATTTCTGCTGCCATTGACCTACATGTTTCTCATCCTAGTGTGATAAGGCACCTTCATCTTGATTCAAGTGTCTCGTGATTGGAGTCTTTTAATGAAACATAACTGGAAACAGAAAAAAAATGTAATTGCAATCAGCAAAACGTAACATTCTCATACTTACGGTGATTTGTTGTGAGAAAGGGTGTGCTCCATCTTCAGCATTCACCTATTTGCAAGGCTTATAGAGACTTCCCAAGAAATGAAGTGTACACACAAAACAGTGTTCATATTTGAAAAAGTGAATGGCTGAAGTGTGCATATTTTTTTAAAAAAAATGCAAAGAAAAATATGTAAAGTTGCTTAAAACGTGAGTGCTGCAAGTAAGGTGTAAAACAAAGCAATAAAAGATCATATTTCTCTCAGCCAAAACTTGCTCAAATAAGTGCACAAATTAGGAAAAAATGCAATAAAATATTTACATGTCAGTATGAGAAGAAAATGCAAAATCTCACAACCTGATGTGAAAAAAGACAGGGAGAAATGCCTGTAGGATCCAGAGAAATGTGGTGAAATTAAGAAAGAGATATTTTTTTCAAATGGTAGTTAAAAGGGCAGTTAAAGTGGAATCATAGTGCTGTAGTCGTTGTTGTGTGCCTTCAAGTCATTTCCGACTTATGGCGAGTCTAAGGCAAACTTATTATGGGCTTTTCTTGGCAAGATTTGTTCAGAGGAGGTTTGCCATTGCCTTCCTCTGAGGCTGAGAGAGTATGGCTTACCCAAAGTCACCCAATGGTTTTCCATGGCTGAGCGGGGCATTCGAACTCTGGCCTCCAAAGTCCTAGTCCAGTGCTCAAACCACAGTGTTACGCTGGCTTAAGTGCTATAATTCCACAAATGGAGAATATAGACTGTAGGTAGGAGTGAGCATATATCCTCCAACTGTCCTGATTTGGTAAGGACTGTCCCAGTTAATCCACTAACGTCCTACTTTTTCAGCTCCTTTTAACATGTCCCAGTTTCTCTCTCATCCTCCCACTTCCTTATTCTTAGCTTACTCTAATGCTGCAACTGAGTCCAAAGTGCAAAAGCAGTTTACACTCAATTGATTCAGCAGGAGATAGATGAGAGGAGGGGTAGAGTCTTGCCATTCCCAGTAGACTCAGTCAAAAGCAAACTGCTGCAACCTCTGCTAGTTTCCATATTCTTCCTCATTAATAACTTTCTCCATCTGGACCACATTCTGGTGTTGCTTGGCCCCATGTTTTACAGTTTTCATCTGTGAAATGTTGGAAGGTGTAAAAGTACAACTGAGGTATAAAAGTAATAATTGCTGAATCAAATGAGGAGCAACCACCTCCCTTGCAGTTCCAGCAGAGGGGAAAAATACCCAAAGATTAATTTTCCATTCTGCCTGCTGGTTTGTCTGAAATGAGCGCCAATTGTGGGAAAGTACAAAGTTTACCAACTGTAAAACTGCCACCGAAAGGCTTTGCTGTACGTACTTACAAAAGCTTAGAAGCAGGACGTAAATGCTGGCATTGCAGGGTTATACAGAGATTAAACTTTTTACTGCTGATCAAAAGGTGTTATCTCTCCCAATCTTTTTTTGTTTTATTCCCCCATATTCAGAGGTAGCAAAAGAGCTTTCACTTTCACTTGTCACAAAAGCGTGAAACCAAAACGCAGAAATCTTTGAAGCTTCACTGGCTTCTTCATCAGGTAACAATGTTAAAAATCATCCAGGAGAAGAAAAAATTAGGATCTTTGGTTTAATACTTTTTCAAGGGGTGAGTGGGTTTGGGGGCTTGTGGATTTATATTGTATGTAATCTTAAAATCTTGTTAGGCGCCTCGATTGTACTCGGAGAGGCAGTGTACAAATAATTTATTATTATTATTATTATTATTATTATTATTATTATTATTATTATTATTATCTTAGAGACACAGGCCTACATTTTGTCTCAGGTGTTAATTCTGTTGCCAGTTACGATGGTCTCTTCTAGAGCAGTGGTACCCAACCTTTGGTCCTCCATTTGTTTTGGACTTCAGTTCCCAGAAGCCCCAGCTAAATTGGCCGACAGTATGGGACGTGAAGTCCAAATCATCTGGTGGACCGAACATTGGGACCCATTGGTCTAGTGGGATTTCAATGCAAGCAAAAGTCACTCCCCTTCTTGACCATATGAGGGCTAGGGACCAAGGGCAATAAGAGACAGGTAATAAAATTTCAATCCCATTAGCAGCAGAAAAGGAACTTCTCTTGAGATCCAGGCTGCCCCTGACCTGTGTGAAGCAAACTGCCACTTTCGTAGGCAGAGAACATTGAATTTCTCAAGAAGTAGCTGTACTGTTACATCAGGAAAAACGTTTAGGCGCTGTATACATAAAATGTGCCAATTGTTGTCCAAATGAAAGTGTTTTTTTACTTTTGTGGAGGTAAAACTCTCAAAGAATTGAGGCCCAGTCCATTTGTTCAAATTTCCCCAATTGCAGCAAAAATTGGTTATCTTCAAATCCAGGAACCATATTCAGAAGTATCTTTGTTGGCCGTGCAGCAAAATACATCAACATGCGAAATACAAAAGAGAGATAATGCAATATTCAAGAGAGATAGTGAATTTATTGTTGTTGTTATGTGCCTTCAAATCATTTCTGACTTATGGCGGCCCTAAGATGAACCTATCATGGGATTTTCTTGGCAAGAACTGCTCAGAGGAGGTTTGCCATTACCTTCCCCTGAGGCTGAGAGCATGTGACTTGCCCAAGGTCATCCAGTGGGTTTCATGGCTCAGCAGGGAATCGAACCCTGTTCTCCAGAGTCATTGTCCAACACTTAAACCACTATGCCATGCTGCCTCTCATAGTGAATCTGACTAAAGTCCATAATCGCATCAAAAATGAAAGCTATAACTGAGGTGTAAAACAATAGCAGGAGAGTTGCTGAACTGGGGTGCAAGACTTGGAGGCCCACATGCCTCCTTCTCCTCTTCCCAGACTTTTTATGTGTAAAATTTACACACTCATTAAGTATTGAATTTACATAAATAAAACCTGTTCTGGTTTGAACAATGTTATTTCATTATAAAATGTTAAAAAATGAATATATATGAATGTGCAAGTGAAAATTCACACACTAAATAAACAAAATATTTTTTATTTATAGATCACTTTGGGGGGAGGCACATGTAGATGTAAAGAGCGGGATCCCAGGGGTAAAAACTTCTGAGTACCACCTTTCTACCCCACTAAAAAAAGAAGAGTGAAACATGTTTCAGCAAACTTTTTATTCAAAATGAAAATTATGCACATGTAAAACAAAACAACGAGAACAGGGAAGCCTTGTGTAAGTAAACAAAGAGGCATTGAACTTCCTAGAGGTCACTTTAAAGTTCTTTCCAAAAGGCATAATGACTTTTAAAGTTGTTTCCTGAAGACACACTGCTGCAACCTTGAAGTCTGTGTTTCTCTGTCCCTCTTTCACTATCCTCCTAATGCTGGTGCTCCTAAAAACCTTCCAGCTAGACAGAGACCAAAGAATAAAAGGGACCACTGGGGGAATTGACATTTTTGTAAAAAGCAGCTTCCTTCTCAAAAGCTTGGTTAAGGGGGGTTGCAGACTGCCAGAAATAGTGCAAATTGAGTCCACTTTTAGGGTTAGGGTTAGGGTTAGGGAATCATGGGAACTGTATTTTATTGTGGCACCAGAGCTCTCTGATAGAGAAGGCTCAATGTCTCAGGAAAAAAAAACAACAATTCCCATGATTCCCTAGCACTAACCCTAACCCTAAAAGTGGACTCAATTTGCACTATTTCTGGCAGTCTGCAACCCCCCTATCAGAGGTATACCTGTATTTCCAACAGGTTGCAGGTTATTTTCAGGTGAATCTTTTAAAAGCAAACTAAGGGTCATGGGGTGGGTCGCCGGTCACCCTGACGCCATGCACCCCTGCCTATGGGGCTTGAATATTGCCGAATCTCCATTTTCACAAGGGGGGGCAGAACGGATCCCTCATGAAAATGGAGAGCCGACTGTATATCTTTGCTGTTTAGGAGCTTTTTTGGAGCGGCAAAAACGAGGATCGGGGCCATGGTGTGTGGTTGCCACGGCCTCGATCCAGCGCTCCCAGGGGCAGCACAGATGTCATGCCCTGTTTGGAGGAGGACTTGGAGGACAAGCCAGAACCTCCTCTGGGTCCTGAGCCTGCAGCCCGGACCCAGCTCGGCTTTGCCAGCAGAGCCTGGGTCTCCCAAGAGACTCTGCAGCCAAGTCTCCCGACAGCAGAACCTTTGGGCATGGAAGAGGATCCAGGGACTGTGCCTACCTTCAGTCAGCATTGAGCAGAAAGGGTGGGCCATCGGCACTCGAGGAGGCTTTATGAAAAACGCCGTGGTAAACAGGCCCAGCTGATCTCCTGCAGCTCGGGGATTTAAGCAGGTATGGAAGTGCTGCTTGGTGCCAGAGATTATCTGAGCTTCCTGGCAAAAGCCTTCGTCTCTGTCTCTCCTTGTTCCTTGGCTTGAAACCTTGACTCTCGGACTGCTGACTTATTTTGGACTACTGGAATCCTTGGACCACTGACTTATTCTGGACTACTGGAACCCTTGACCTTTGGACTGCCTGGCCACTTTGCTTCTCCGGAATCCTAGACCTTCAGACTGCTAGATCCTGCGCTGGCTGACCCCTTGGATTGGTACCTTGGACTTTGAATATTGCCGAATCTCCATTTTCACAAGGGGAGGGTCCGGAACGGATCCCCTGCGAAAACGGAGGTCCGACTGTATATCTTTGCTCTTTAGGAGTTTTCTAGTTCTTTCATAGCTGCCCCCCCCCATTCTTAGTCTTCTTCTCATTTCCTGACTGCAGTCCCTGTCCTGATGATGTTTGATCCAAGGTATAGGAACTCTTTTACTATTTCTGTGTCCTCATTGTCTAGGTTGAACTTGTGAAGATCCTCCGTGGTCATTATTTTTGTTTTCTTTATCTTCAACAGTAAACCTATCTTTACACTTTCTTCTTTGACCTTCCTCAGTAGTTGCTCTAGTAGGCCTTTGATGTTTTCTGCTAAAAGTATGGTGTCATCTG